GCCCGTGGTCACGATGGAAGCGACAATACTTGTTAGGATTTTTGCGATTTGGAGGAGACTTCATTTTCCCAGGCCACTTTATCGCGGGGTCATCTTGGATCTGGAATAGGATTTGTCCCACGGTAGCATTGAGGGGAGTGAAGGGTTGATGGTCCATCTGAGGAGCAGGACCTAGCTGGTCCTTGACAGGGACTCTCTCTGTTTTTCCATGCTTGTTGCTAGTCTCCTTCTTATCGTCCCTCTCCTTTTCCTTCCTCTTTTCCCCTGCTCTGTAAGACTCACCTTGCCTGACCCTTGTAATGTCTTTCGCATTCATGTACTTTTGGGCCTTGGCTAGCAGCTCTGACATGCTCTTTGGTGGGCGCTTCATCACTGAGAAAAGGAAGCTTGATGAACGAAGGCCACGCAAGAAGGCGGTCATCGTCACCTTGTCGTCGGGTTCATCAACTTGGAGTACCTCCTCGTTAAAACGAGTGAGGTTACTCCTCAGGCTCTCCTCGCGGTCCTGCTTTATACTAAGCAGGTGCGTAACAGGCTTCTGGTGGCGACGCCTTCCAATGAAATGTGAAACGAATGATCTGCTAAGCTCAGTGAAGGAGGCAATGGAGGCGGGAGAGAGCTTAGCAAACCACTGTCGGGCAGATCCCTTCAATGTGATTGGGAATGCCCTGCACATGATTTCGTCTGGTACGTTGTGCAACTGCATCAAAGTCTTGTAAGTGTCGAGGTGGTCTAGTGGATCCTTTGTTCCATCAAAGGTCTTTACAGATGACATTTTGAACTTCTGAGGGAGGGGGTAGTTTGCTACATCAGGCTTGAAAGGCGTATCCGTACGCCTTACTAGGTGGTCTATAGTCTCGGGTCCCTATGCCTTCATGGCGTTGAAGACATTACCCAATTGATTTTGTACTTCCTTGATTTTCTAGTCCCAATGATTGGGGGCTCCTCTGGAATGATCATGGAAATGACTTCATGCTCGATGCTTTGGTTCTCGCCCTCATCCTCCTGGAGATGAGGGTCCTCTCCATGGGAAGCAAGAGGAGAGGGAGGTAGAACTCCCTCATGTTAGGCTCCCTTGAGTGGGGCGCCTAGGCGTGTGAGCTCCTTGGTGTCCAAGGCGTGGAGCTTCTTGGGGTCCTCCATGTTGTGCACCTCCGAGTTGTGCTCCTCCTTGAGGTCCTCCATGTTGTGCACCTCCAAGTTGTGCTCCTCCTTGGGGTCCTCCAAGTTGTGCACCTCCAAGTTGTGCTTCTCCTTGTCCAGCAAGCATGAGTTGCAGTAGGTGTTGGTTTTGGGCCACCAGCTGCTGCATGGTCTCCAACATTTGCTAGGGATTCAGAGTTGGAGCATTCAGAACAGGGTTGGCTGGTGGAGGAGCAACCTCCTCCTCTCGTGGTGGACTGTCTTCGTGTTGGTTCATGGATCGGGTAATGATCGTCATTGGTTAAGTGGATGAAATGTTCAGGAGTGAGAATTTTGTCTTCTTCCCACAGACGGCGCCAAACTGATGATGCACAAAATGGTTTCGCACACCACCAGTCAAGTGTGAATAATAAATGCAAGAAAATTAATAATGGGAGATAGAGAGACACAGACAATTTATAGTGGTTCGGTCAGCTTGATCTACGTCCACTTTTCAATGGCTTTTGGTTGCCGGGTATTTTATTAACTCAAGGGAGTGGGGAGCAGAGAGTACAAGTTTTGACGGAGAAGAGAGAGTCGTGCTCGGGGAAAGTGTGAGGCCCAGGTAATTAGTGTCCTCCTAAGTGTTGATGGAGTGTGCAATTTATAGTGGCTCCCTAATAGGTTGGGGCTACTTTCCAGCGACTAAGCAACCATTTCGGTGGAGCTCCGATCTCTTCTCAACGAGCGAAGTGGTTGAGGAGCTCTTCATGAGATGCGGTCAAAGATATGGTGAGGGTGGACCGTTTCCTTCGGTGGTGCAGATAAGGCTTCCCATGCTCTCCCCTTGATGACGTGGCTAAACAAAGAGTCTAACTTGGTCTTGGGCTATGTTGGGTTTGGTGGATCTTTAAATGAGGTAGGGCTTCTTAATTGAGATTTGGACTTTGCACATAGATTGTGCCATTTTGGGCTTAACCCATCAGAGGTGTCACAACTACTTAGAGTACTGATGTCAATCCTGAATGTGATAGTGGTGGAAAACATCCACATCTGGCATAGGCAATGAAGACGTAGAAGCAACAACTGTAGGTGACAATGGTCCTGCAAGTGTATGTGTAGGTGCAGGTGCAGGCTGTGGAAACCCAATGGCAGTATGAACATTTGTAGGTGGCACTGACAAAGATGCAGAAGGAATATCAACAAGTGTAGGCATCAGCTGCGCAGATGTAGAAGTAACATTATGTGTTGGGGTTGGAACATGCATACGTCGTTGATGCTCAAGAGTGTTGCCAAACACCCATAACGCATATCTCTTATATGCCCAATAGTATCCATGCAAAGTGTCAAATCTAGGCTTCCCTCATAGATATGTCCTGAAGTGTGATATATGCTCGTAAGTGTCTCCTCCTACAAAAAACGAGAGGGAGAGTAATTGAAGAAAACAACTAATTACCCATTGTTCATTCCATAAATTCCAAATCCTCCAACTATTTACCCATGTCAAGGTAAAAATTTCTATGTAACCAATTTCAATGTAACCAATTATAAACATAAAGAGAGGGAGAGAGTCATTGAAGAAGTATCGGATTTAGGGGTGCTAATTTAGGGTTGGTGATTTAGGGATTTTATGGGTGAGGGGTAGATCATAGGGGTGATTAAGAGAGAGAGAGAAGGTGGTGGTGGTTCTGGTATAGAGTGAGATCAGTGGAGAGGTTCTAGTGAGAGAGAGAGAGAGAGAGAGAGGGTGTTAAACTTTTAATTATATCAATCATTCTTCCGGTCCTAGTTAACCACTTTTAAGTCAAGTTCAAATGTGAGGCGGAGTGTTGAAAATCCCAACTCATGAATAAGGAGAATTGATGAGCGGGGTGCTTTTCCTTATGTTATTTGATCATTCTCAATCCCTATGATTATCATCCAACATTGGGCTAACAGTTTTTGACACAAAAATGTATGACACGAATTAAAAAATAAAATGATGAAAGTTGAATAACAATTGGGCCAGTTAGAAGTTATACACAAATAATTCGATTTTGATATAAAACAAAAATTTAAAAGTAACAAGCGGCGGAGCTACATAGAGTACCCACCCTCCATATATATATATATATATATATAAATACTTTTTACTTGGGTCCACCTTATAACTTTCTTACTTCAATTGTTTAGTTGTTTTTATTGTATTAAGATTTTCTATAAATGACCTTAATATTCATATTTATGAATTTATAATTTTATTCTATTGATTTGAAAGTAAAAATACTTGTAGTTGGCCTTCAATTGACTTTTATTTTTATGTGGGAATTCATCTCTATTTTTGTTGACAATTTATTGAAGTTTTCTCTGTCGGTCGTGTTAGGTGATGCGAAATCGTGTCGGGTTTTAGCAAGTTCGTGTTAAAAAGCACTTCATTCATACCTGATTCTTTTGTGAATTCTTGTTTAATAAATCGTGTCATATCAAGTTCGTGTCACGAATGAATTGTGTATAACCAATATATAAACGAGTCATGTCGTGCATTTTTTTTTATTGACTTCACTCATATCCGATTCTTTTATTAATCATATCTATTGGGTTCATTCGTTGACGAAACAAATGACTTAAATAAGACCCAAACTTTCTAATTTTCTGTTATGTTCGTATTATGTTAATAAGTCATATCATATTTTAACACTCCTAGGACTTATTTGGATGGATTTTTTGGGAGAGTTTGAATTGACTTCTTCTAACCCTTCTAAACTCAAACCCCTCTTTTCAAAAATGAAATTCAACATTGAATCCGATCCATATTCATATTTGGTATGCAACACATACACATGAAGGACATACGGATGTCATAATTATTAACAACTATTTATCTTATAAATGGCTATTTTACTCTTAATCAATCCAATTCATACCGATGTTAAGGGATACAATTATTTTTTACATCCTTAACCCATCTTCCCAAACACACCCTCTCTTAGGTTTGACAAAATTCAAGAACATGTGTTTAATATTCACTCCAGCTATGGGCCGGGTTTGAAAACCAAAGATTGAATTTTTAATCCAAACATGAGATTTAAGAATCTTTCGAACTATTTTCCCCAAACCTATTTTGCCAAGCCCCCCATACCCTTTTACCAAACAGTCCCCTAGTGTCAATTGAGTTTTAAATTTTTTACTATGTTTAATTCTTAAATTTTAGTTTAGTAGCTTTACCATTCTAATATCTTAATTATAATGTTTGAATAAAAATTTATCGAATAAGTGTAATAGATAGTCAATAGATAACTGATAGTTTTTTAATTACACAATAGCAAATAACCTCACATTTTTACAATGGGGATACTTAGTCTTTTATACACATACACAATATACATTTTTTTATGGCCCTTTTGTATTACATGGACTACATGTACCAAACATGATATGATAAATATAAATATACCATGTTATTTTGATTGGTTAAGAGGAAAAAACACATTAAAGTGTCCACGCTAATTAAAGTGTAAATCTCAGCTACTTACAAAACACTACATAAGATAAATTACACATTGATACCGTGTCGGTTATCGCACATTATCCCTTGAATTATTATTTTTCTTACACTACACCTCTAACTATAATTATTTGTTTCACATTAATCCCTCAACTATCATATTTCTCACATTAAACCTCCAATCATAGTTACTGGAATCATATACCACTAGTTCTTGATATTGAAAACATATTTTATTACACATTTGAACATTTTTCATCCGAAGCATGTTAGATGTTTGGTTTTGGGGCAATGTGAAACCTATAAGTAGTTGCCAGGACAATATGAGAAACTCAATAGTTTAAGGGATAAAGTGACACCAAGCCATAATTAAGGGGGTCAATGTGTACTTTCCCTCGTACTCTTGATCACCTGCGTTAAAAGGCATAAATGCATTGGCTTTTCTTAAGATGACATCAACATAGACTCCGCAGTAGTCCAGCAGAATAGGAGACCAAACCTGATCTTTTCTCCCTCGAGCACCAGTTTCACAGAAGAGAAAAGATGAAAATTCAAAATATACCATAGTTTTCAAGCCTCATACAGCATTCCAACCTCAATAAGCTGAGGCAAAGGCACTCCCAAATCAGGCAGTGCAGACCTACAATGACTGTGCATAACTTCATAAAATGCCAGCATGATTTTGTCAACCCAGCTACAATTCTTGCCTATGTAAAACCTTGTTTTCCCTCGAATGTGAACCACACCAGCGAGCTTTGCCTCACCCAAATCCGAAATTTCTTCTTCATCATCTAAATGAGCTCGCAAGCTGTCAGTAACTTGACTAACAAAGTCATCCCCTTCAAGACTTACAGAATCTGCATAGCCGTACTGAACCACACACCCGTATAAGCCTTTAAGGCCAAGTTTGTGGACCACAATCCTCTCATGCGAGGCAACTTTAGGAACCAACAAGTATCGAAGTGTCATGAAAATAGTAACCTTGTGAAGAGATCTCATGTTTTTTATATAATGACCAAGAATTGGCGTAAGCCCATCTTGTATGTTGGTATAGAAGATGCAAAGCCCATGAACTCTCTGAACACCTGGATCAGAGAGCAGCAATGCAAGTCTCTGTAAATCTATCTTATGGGTTAATTCATACTCTACCTTTCTCTGCCTCCCATAGTACCAGCCAAACATAATGAAAGCAAGGATAAAAGAAATGGCAAATGGAATCCATCCACCTTCTGGAATTTTGGTGAAAACCGCACTGACATAGACTCCTTCCATCACAAAGAAAACAACAAAATAAAGGGCAACGAGAATTGGTGAAGTTCTCCAGATAATGATCATGACTAATGTCAGCAATATGGTCGTGATGAGCATGACCAAACTAACAACTACACCTGTAAAAAATGTAACAATGAGTATTAGAATAAAAAATATAGGGTTAATTGATTTTTATCCCTCGGTGGTTTCGGCTAGAAATACCTTATCTACTTGACGTTTAAAATTATGCACATTACCTCCTCATAGTTATGTACCAAAGTGAAGTAATTGAGGCCGTTAATGGAATTAAAAAATTACCATAATACCCACGTTTTAAAATCAAACTCTTTACCATAAAACTAATGGAACATAATAACAAACCAACACATTTCAATCAAACATGTCAAGCCTCTTTTTTCCTCAAATGAGGTTTTGATTCGGGGTCGAAAAATCACTTATATTTTTCTTAAATGTTTTTTTATCTAGGACCGATGTCATACCTATTTGGGTATTATACCCTATATTATAAAGGATATTTTAGACACTTAGACAATGTTCCTTTAAAAGGAAATAATGAAAACAAAACTCACAACATGTTTTGGACGTGTAGAGTACATTCTCCGTTAACTTGGATGATAAAGTAACCATTTCACTTTGGCACATAATTACAAGGGGATAATGTGCATAATTGTAAACGTCAAGTAAGTAAGGTGTTTCTAACCAAAATTACAAAGAGGTAAAAAAATAATTAACCCAAAAATATAATGTGAAATGAAATGTCACCAGAAAACAGTGTCTGCTTAAATAGATTACACTAAACGATCACGAGAACTAGTAGAACTTCTGTTCGAACTACTAGAATTAGGTAATTGCTTACTAGTTAAAAAACATAATTAGGTAATTGATTAGGTTGCTAACGAAATTACACTAAATAGATCTAATTATAGTTATACAGTACTATAAAAACTCGTTATAAAATCACGTTCAAGAAACCTAAAGCACTCTAAAACCGGCGATAAATGTTATGACATTCTAGTCAATCTAAAGAAGCACCAGCTTAGAGGTTACCATACCGAAGGCATTTCCAATGTCTTTCCCATCTCCAAAAATAAGAATGACAGCAACACAAAGAATCATGAGGATGTAGTTCACTTCTGGAGAGTAAACCTCCCCTTCTTTGCTGGAGGATGTGTGCACCACCTTAACACGAGGAAAATAATCCAGTACAACAGATTGCTTGATAACAGAAAAAGTGGCTGAAATCAGTGATTGACTTGCAACAATTGCTGCCAATGTGGCTATGACGAACATAGGCCAGTAAACTGTCTTCGGTATAAACTTGTAAAACCCATCATCATGATCATTAGGGTTTCTGATCAGGTATGCTGTTTGTCCCGCATAGGTCAGAACAAGAGATGGATATATAGTGAAAAAGAATGCTGCCTGTTTGGATAAAAAGAAGTTATAAACCACTGCATAAAACTGGATGAGTGAAAATCATATTCATAGACAATCATATTCGTAGACAATTTTGGTGCATCACCTGAATTGAATTCTTGTTGAAATGACCTAGATCAGCAAACAATGCTTCGGAACCTGAATAGGAGACATGATAACAAATGTGAAACAGTGTACGGATTTTTTTCCTAGTTCCATTTTTTGTTAGTGTTTTCAAGGATTTATGAGAGAGAGGGAGATGACACAATAGAAGTGGAGATGCGGTAGGTAGAGAATGGGGCCTTGTTCCATAAACTCCACATCACCGTTCCAAGATTTACTTTTTAATTTGAAAAAGAAAAAGTAGCATTATATCTAAGTCATCAAACAAAAAAATGCTAATCTTCCCCATGTCATGCGAGAGTAATAGCCCAATTGTGGCTTTTACAATATTCTATAGGAGGTCACTTGCCATAAATTTATATTTGGTTGCCTTTACATTACCAGGACAAGGACTCAATTAGGATCAAAGTTATGTATTTTTTAACAAACTAGCGCAAAGGGTAATCAAGTCATTTTCTACATCCATAATAGATAGGCCACAAATGACGCTCACCTGTGATGCAGAGGACAGTTCCTCCAAGCAACATCCAGCCTTCTTTTCCATTTCTCCAGAAGAAGCGGAAGATGTAATGCGGTGATATTGCCTTAAATATACTTGGGTAATGATGTAGAATACTATAAATTCCTACAAGCGGAGTCGTGAAAGTCCATGCACCCATGATGGGGGAGAAAAGGAAACTCACTCGCGAGGTTCCAAATTTTTGCACCAAGAACAGAACAAAAAGAACTATGGCAGAGAGGGCTTCAACCAAAGCTGCAAGTTGAAAACTAGAACATCAGTGAACGCAATGAGACAGACCTTTCAAATAATGCAATCCTTCAATACCACTGAATCCATAGACAACCCAATCGGTAGATCAAACAAGTTAGTCAACTGATTATGCCTGGTCTTACATAGACCCTGAAGTTCAGTTGCTACAAATTTTCTTATCTGTTGCCCATGATTATATAAACTACTGCTAGGGCATAGGAATTCCCTTTAAAAGTCAAAGGTAAATGTGTTTATAGCAGCATTTTTACCATACTTAATACTTCAATAGACAATATAGACAACTCTATTTCTGTTCACATATCTTTGGGTGTTATTAAGACCCCCAGATTCCTCAAGAACCAGAAATTTAGCATTATGGAGTTGAGCAATGTCTGTTTGCTACAAGACCAACTTCAACTTCTTGTTCAAACACTCCTGCAAAGATAAAACAAAGCCACCCATCTAAAGAAAACCACATCTATTTCAACAGCAACGGCCAATGGAAATATAGAGCCACTAACGTTATTCATTAGCTGAGCTCATGCACTTTTAAGAATGTGATGTCTTGAAAAGATGCCAAGCCACTTAAGGACCACCATGATTTTTAGAGCAAATGAATTACAGGAGTCTGAATCGATACTTACCTTTGCTGACTGAAGGAAAAGGTGCTCTAATGCCATCCATTGCAGACAATACTGAAACAATTGAAATAATAGATTTGTAAAAAATGCATAAAAGTAAAAAAAAAAAAATTAAAACATCATGAACAATGTACAAAATATTGAAAAGAAAAACTCCCAAAAAATGGTTGTACCAACATGTAGGAAAAGTTACTGGCTGACACACCTGATATTGCAGGAGTAAGTATACCATCACCAATTATCATGCACATGCCCAATATTGCAATAAAAAGCAAGACCCTCCTGGCAACCACGCTTTTTTCAAAAAATTTACCGAGACGACTTTTGTTTCCAGAGCTCTCATAAGGATTAGCACGCGAAAGGCTTGAGGTTGAATCTCGGTGTTTGGATGAAAGAATTCCAATGTTCATATTCCTGCAAAGTAACGAATACAACGCAAATGTTCCACCTGCGATAAATCTATCTCAACAAATCAAGAATTCAAGGACATAAGCTATGGAATTGAGGGCAACAAGGTGAAAAGTTGTAGTTATCAATAAACTACTGACAATGGTAAAAAAATGCCGTTACTCGATAGGGTTCTCATTAATCGAGGTATTACGAGGGGGTAAGCTAGGCACAAACTTATCATTTGACATCACTTCCAGAAAAAGATTGCCTGCAGATTTGAATCCACCACCCCACACGCCCGAGTTTTATAGCTGCACAATTGGTAATATCCCCAACTAACCTAGAGCAGATATGTTAAGATACATTAACAAACACATGGGGTTTCAATAAGGTTGAGAAACAGTGAAACACCATGAGGAAGACAAGACATGAATATATCTCATTCAAAAAACCTTTTATAATAATAAGATGACAACTTACCTGGCCTGTAAAACCTAATTATGTCCCATTTTTTTTTTTTACAACCCTTAGACACTCAATTCAATAGTAACAAATGAAATCTATAGATCAATAATCAAGTCTCTGGATTGGAATTGAAACCTTGGTGCACTCAATTTTTTATTTATAGAAAGGGAACTTCTACAGTCCATCAACATACACATATGAAATCCAACATGTATGACCAAAGTTCATCCAAATTTGAAGTTCAGAACTGGGGATAGCCCGTGTTGACAATGCAATGACAATGTGCCCAAAAGCATCCTATATTGCTAAATGAAAAGAGGTTTAACCTCTGTTGCCACAAATGGAAATGTTGTCAACTGAAGCACTTTAGCAGACATGGGTGTTTTCCGGTAATAGTACTTACTTTTTGACAACTCCATTGACATTTTCTCCTCTTTTTTTTTTTAGGGGAGAGGGGAAGAGAAGAGGGAACTTGAACCCTTGACCTCAAGAAAGCAAAATGCAAGGACTAAGGAGTACCATTAAGCCAAACGCCCCTTGGTACCATTGACGTTATTGCCTTGAATAGGTGCTAAACTTGAAAAAATGTAAATATCCCAATTGGTAGGCTATGTAACCACAAACTTCGAAAATTGTACCCTTTTCTTCCTCTTTCATTATTAGTAGTTTTTCTTTTCCTTTGTTCTATTTATACCGGTCAGGTGCGGACTAACCACTCTTTGCACTTCATGTTATCTTGAGTAATTGTAGTTACTTCTTTCTTAATTATGCCTACTTCAAGAAAATGTTATTACCTTTGTGGTTCCCAACAACCAAGGGTATTAGGAGTGTCAACTCAATACAAACCTGGCATTCACTACTATTTTCTCGAAATGACAATCCTCAAACTTAAACCCAGAATCTCACAGTTCTTACCTATGAAGCACGGATAGGGATACGAGATATGGGTACGATACGATACGATACGGCGATACGATAAAATCTAAAAAAGTAGAATATGGGAACGATCAAAATACGACTATAATAAAATATATTTAATTTTTTTTTATTTTCAACCAGCTTAATATTTATATATTTTGATAGTTCTTTAACACAATTAAAAAAATTAATAATTATTTTTAATTTCAAAAAAAATATATCGTATCACTATAGTATATTCACAAAGTGAAATGATTAATTAAAACAATCAAAACTAATATTTATCGAGTTGGTTTATTTTGAAGTAATTTTTGCTAAAACTATAATGTAATAGATTTATTTTATACTCTCTTGACTTATAATTGTAGATAATACTTAAAAATACTCATTTAGTTTTGAAGTAGTATGAATTTTTATTAATGTATTGTATGGTATGTGAATTCGAAAAGAAATGTTAAAAATTCAACTCAAAAATTATATATGTTGCTTTAATACAAAATTATCAGTTAAGTATCCTAATATTTAATTATTATTGAATATGTTGGAAGTGTATCCAATACATATCCTCGAGTATCCGACGAGTATCATATCTTATACGGTATCCGATACGGATACGCCAACCTCGACAAAGTATCCGTGCTTCATAGGTTCTTACCAAAGAACTTTAGCCCTACACTCCACACTGTCCCAAAGCCTAGAGACTGTGCCAATTACGAAATAGAAAAGCAATCTGGCGGCTAGATTATTAGTGAGTAACGGCATCAATATTTGGGCCCCATTAGCTGGCTTTTACCTAAAATTTTTCTTTCTTAACTTTTAGAAACCTTATAGTGATTGATATAAGAGTAAACAGATACAAAGATCTTTGGCCAGAAATTGAAGATTGACATTCCATGGATCATCTATAGTTGTCAGTATTTTCCATCAAATTTGGGAAGGTGCATTAGGATCAATAAACATGAATAAGTCCTTGTTTAAAAAAAAACATTTTCATTGAGAAACCCTAATGAGCAAAGATTCCTATTGTATTCAGGAAAAATATCATTACCTTCAAGTTTTGCAACATTGATTCCGGTGAAACTCATTATTATTTTGGCTTTCATAAAAACGCTGAGTTCTACCATCATGAAGGAACCATGATTGGAGATCAATCAAGGGTTCAATTCTGGGAGAATTTGCAGTTGGGTAATCACACTTTCTGATAACTCTCCCCCTAATTGAATCTATCTTTGTCCATGGTAACTGCTATCAATTTTCATATTCACTACAGTCCTTCATTCTTACGAAATTTTTACCCACTGTCAATTTTCATATTCATTAAAGTCCTTCATTCTGATGGAATTTTTACTTCTGTAGAATATTTTGCTAGGGTAAATAGTCTTCTTTAGAATTCTCAAATTTCAATAAGTATGACATTACTCTTTCTTTTTATTATTATATTCTTTTCCTTTAACATTTTTGAGACTAACCCAAACCCGTATTGACACTGAACAATACATCTCCCACTTTAGAGTAACAAATGACAAAACTCAAGCTAAGACTTTGTGCAAATTGATGAAATCCTCCCACCTCATTTTAAAATGTGTATACGTTTCGTAACACCTTGAAAAGGTGTTAGAGTTTAGATAGCAATATTCCTATTTCCCTTTCTTCTTGATTTTGAAAACTCAAAATTAAGGAATTTCCCAATAGGTGGAACTTCCCTCTTTCCTCATATCTTTTTTATGCTTGCTCTCTAGAAAAGACAACTCGTTTCGATTGGCTAGATCATTTTACAAGCTACACCCCTAGCCTCCCAAACCACCAAAACATAAATAGATGAAAGGGAAGAAAAGTGTAAGAAGACAAGGTTAAGGCTCCTGTCTTAAAAAGTCAAATACGAGTGAAGTGTTTCAAGCTAATAAGCCCGGGGGCCCATACGTTTCTTCTAAAGAAGTAATGAATCCTCTATTCACGTCCTACATTGTACATGATAGTTGGGTTGCCCTTGTGGAAATTTATTCTTGGTTAACAATTTTTTAGGGGATGTCTTGGGAAGAAATATAGAAGCTTAAATATACTCGCATTAGCTTTCTTCACAATATGGATTAAAAGAAACAAAAAAACTCTTCTTGTGGAGATGAACTTTGTGGTAAACCTTTTTTAATTTCTTTCAGTTGCGAAATATGAGGTTGGTTTTATTGAAACACAATAGGGGAGGTTGGATTGTAGTGTCTACTAGTTAGGAGAGGAAGATGGTCACTCTTACATTTGGAAAGCCTCCTAAAGGGTATAATCACATTTGAATTTGATGCTTCTTTCCTTGTTTAACCAGTAGAGGTGGGATTTAGGACCTTTACAATTGTGGACCTAAAAATGTTTTGCCATCAAAGCAAAGATTTTACCATTAGTACATTACAGGGAGGCCTTAAAGAGGTCACCTTGTTGTAATGTAAACAGTTAAAAGTTAAATTGGTGGACTGGATGAAGAAGTAAAATTCATGGTCCTTGCTCTGATGCCAATATAATTTGAGTGATCTTGGATTTATTCACTTCCACTTCCAGTGGTTGTATTTGGATTGCTACATCAGGAACTTTAGATATAAACAGAGTGGCCGAGAGAAGGGCAGCCATTCTCCAGCTTTTCAGGTGATGTTAATCTCCATTAAGATTTGCTAGCATCCTTGAGGATTTTGTGTTTGGCATACTATTGTATTTGAAAAATCTTCTTTGCCTCCTCTCTCTACCTTGCTAAAGGATCTCTCAAGTTTCCCTTTATTATACTCTCTTTTTCCCTTAACATGGATTCAGTCACTATAGCCAGAGGGGAGAATGCTATGCCAGAACTGCAAAGCAAGCTCTATGTTTTGAAGGTTTTATGACAAACAAGAGAGACCAAAAACAAAGTTTAGAACAAAACTTTGATAGGCTAAAAGTAAAGAGTAGACATAAGGAGAATTATCTTATAATATGAACTGTGTGGGAAATTAACGTACAAAAAATGCTAAACTTCAAACAAAAAAATGCAGCTAAAGCTCAGAGCTTTAGCATATGGCAGAGATATTGACTCTGTGGATTCAAATATACCTTCAAATGCAGCTAAAGCTCAAAAGCCATTCTCCAGATTTTGAGGTGGTGTTAATCTCCATTACGTTTTGCTAGCATCCTTGAGGATTTTGTGTTTGTCATACTATTGTATTTTAAAATCTTCTTTGTCTCCTCTCTTTACCTTGCTAAAGGATCTCTCAAGTTTCCCTTCATTATACTCTCTTTTTCCCTTAACATGGATTCAGTCAATATAGCCAGTGGGGTGAATGCTACGCTAGAACTGCAAAGCAAGCTCTATGTTTTGAAGGTTTTATGACAAACAAGAGAGACCAAAGACAAAGTTTAGAACAAAATTTTGATAGGCTAAAAGTAAAGAGTAGACATAAGGATAATTATCTTACAATATGAATTGTGTGGAAAATTAACATACAAAAAATGCTAAACTTCAAACACAAAAATGCAGGTAAAGCTCAGAGCTTTAGCATGTGGCAGAGATATTAATTTGTGGATTCAAATATACCTTCACCCTGATCATCAGCTTTGAGAGCTATGCTAGCATATTTTACAACTCCAATCAAGCTGAGGGTCCAGAACATAATGCTGTAGATTCCCAAGTAGTCATCTTCAGTTGGGGATTTCAATGGCATTGACGGATAAACATAAAGTGGAGAAGTCACAAGCCCACCAAAGACGACTCCTAATGTCTTGTATGCAAGTACCAGATTCCCCCATCGACCTGTCCCCTGATCATGGCCAGCGTCACAATCACTGTTAATATTTAAACTTCCCCTATATTTCCAAATATGAGAAGACAAAAAAAAAAAGGAAAATAAGAAAATAAAAACGAAAGGCAACTTGAGCTACAAATATTTTAAGCACAAAATAGTTCTTCAACCCATCAGTAGCTTTGTCCCATGGCATCATAAAACAACTAAAATTATGCACACATATCCATAAAATTCTTGAAGGCCAACCAAATTTGCAAAATAAAAAAGTGGAAAAGAAGAAAAGAAATGAACGAGAATAACATATATCTGAAACTCATAAAAGTTATTTGACAAACAAGTAGCATTGATTACATAATTTATCTTAACAATAAGAATTATTGCGGCATATTAATAAAATGGAGAATCAGAACTAACTCCCCTATAAAATAATAACAAATTAAGAATAGAAAAAAGAACTGAGAAACAGAGAGTACTCACATAAGTCTAAAATAATGGCCAAAAAACACATGTCTAAAATATGAAACAGCTTTCCGATGATTAACAGCCATTTTCGGTCTTTTACCAGGGAAACATAAAATCCACACACAAAAACACGCATATAATCGATTAAACTACACTGGCTGTCTTTGAAATATACAGTCATTTCACATTTCTTCTTCAATTTCATATTGTGTCACTTTAAACCACAAGTTGCTAATTTTTGTTTTACTTATTTAACTGAAATTAGCAACAAGCTATCCTCAAAAAACACGCAGCCTCCTCCCCCCAGACAATTATCAGAAATTCAGAAACCTAAACAAAACTCCACACATATTTTATGGACCATCAACTAATGTATTTTTCCCATGTAGGAACATCAAATATCCAACAAAATTAAACCCATTCGAGAACACGAAAACGAAGATGCCCAGAAAAAGGAAGCCAAGAAAGGAAACGAAATTCATGCACGCTTCTCAGCATATGCAACCATATATCATCCCAACATTACATATGTGTGTGTATGTATAAATATATATATGCGTGTGTGTGTGTGTATAGAGAGAGAGAGAGAGAGAACAAAATCAAAGAAAGCAACCAATTTAGGGGTGTATATTGTTGTTTACGGAGGATGAGACTGGACGGTTAACAGAGTGAAGAAGACCATTGGGGGTGGCATCATCACCAGCCAGTACCACCATCTCCGATAGAGTCGCCGCTGGGTCATGTGACCTCAGTTCGCAATCCATCGACGTCTTGCACTTCACTCGGTCTCGCTACGCTCACTCTCCGTTGTGGACTTCTCCTCTCTTTGATTCCGAGTGTGTGTGAAACAGAGATGCATAAAGCCCGGCAATGGGTAAATTACACTGAGACCCCTTCAGATTTGTCTCTTGTCCCTTGGATTCTCTCAAATTTAAAATGTTATATTTATACCTCTTAAAGTTTGTGCACTTGTAATATAGAACCACTTGTCGTCAGTTAAAAATCCATTAAAAAAACATGTTGTCATCTAATACACAATTATAATTCTCATATTACCCTTTTGTTTTGTCCACTGTTAATTGGTTCAAATCATTTGGACTGTCGTATCAAAAGCCACATGACTTGTGTTACATATTTACATCACATAAGCTTTGATAATAATTCTCAATGTCAACATATTTACATCCAGTAATCAGACATCCAATATATTGCTGGGAGCTAAAAACAATGCAGGCATCCAATATATGCTGGGAGTCAAAAACAATGTAGGCATCCAAAAAACATCACATAAGCATTTCTAATAAACACAAAAGATGCACTTCCAACAAAAGCTCCAACCTACTCAAAATACACCATGCCAACAACAAAAGTTATTTTCCTAACTAAAAAGAAATTTGGAACATAGCATATTCAGATTCCACTGCCACATTAGGTGCAACAGGTTCACTAACTTTGTTACTCCCTTCTTGAGTGTTTGTCTTTGCTACTCCAGTCCTCGAAGGCCTACTTTTTTTCTTTTCTCATCCCTGACAAATTGAATTAGTAATATCAACACATTATTACTCAAATGTTAAATAACAATTTACTATTATAGCTTAATTAAAATTTTAGTATAGGATATAAGATTAACTATAACAGGTGAATACAAGCAAAAAAAAAAATACAACAGGTGAATTTACGCACCTTATTGCCTACCATAGCTTTCAAACATTCCATTCCTACTAGGAGTGTTCACCCTACCTACGGGTAGGAAATAGTATCTTTCGTTTTCTTACCCGATACTTTGCGGAAGAATTTTTTTTTGGTCTATCCTACCCAATCATGTGTAGTATTCCTACCCCAAATAATTGGGTAGAAAATCGGGTAAATACTTTTGTAGCTATTAATTTTTGGATCATTTTAACAATTCAATTAAATAACATGCACCAATTTAACAATACAATAAATTAATAACACTAAAACCTAAAATAACTACAACAACAATTACAATAAAATATAAGAAAGTATGAACATCAATCTATCATAATTGTTACACAAAAATAAATAATTATTTTAAATTTAAACCATATGAAACACATTAAAATCATAACTGTTTCAATAATTCACTAGTTCACCATAAATCATGTAACCTACACAAAAAACAAGTCCATATTTTTGCAACTCAAACATCCACAACAATAACAATGTTATAATATAAATTATATCACACAAATACTCTTATAATTACTAAAAAATATATAAAAAAGTTAAATATATTTTTTGTGGGTAGGGTAAGGTAGAAATGCGAAAATTGATAGGTATTCCACATTTCTACCCGATTTAACCGAAAGACCAAAAATTCTTCTACATTTCTATCTGATTTTTTGCAGCTAGTCATTCAATAGGGTAAGGTAGCTTAGGAAATTGAGGTCAATCGAAAATTTGAACACCCCTAATTCCTACATTAGCTTGAGAAGACTGAGAAGCAACAATCCCATAGCCCTATGTACTACTAACAACATTTTCACCTCCCTACTCACCACTAATAGCAATTCCACATCCACCTCCCTGCCCACTACTAGCAGCAGCCACACCTCTCTGCCCACTAGTATCACACCTCCCTGCTAACAACTAGCAACAGTAGCAACAATTCTAGTTCCAGTTTCAGTTCCCTACCCACCAATACAGCATCTCATGAAAACACTTTCCACAAATAATCCAACTAAGCATCATAAAACTTTAGAATGCAACATGACTAATGCAAATTCAACAATACAAAGAATCTTCAATCTGTTATTAAAGCATGACTAAAGCAACTTAAAGCATTACCGTCTTAAAGAATTAAATATTTAAACATCTTAAAGCGCCTCTTAAAGCATTAAAAACTTGAAAGCATTATGACTAAGCATCGTAAAACAATTTGTTATAATGTAGTAACAATTATACCAAAGCAATTTTAAAAGTATCTAGCATACCAATTGTTAAAAATGAAATAAAACATACGAGTAATTTTACACTCACATCCGAAGTCCATCTTTTTCTTTGGCCTTTTCTTATCCTTATTGGACCTCTTTGACAAGTCCTCTTGTTATGGTCATACTCTTTGCAGTTTACACATCAAACAGTGCAAGATCTTTTAGACTGAGTAGATGGGCCCGATTCATCTACCTCTCTTCTTCTATTTTTCCTTGGCCTTCTTGGGAGTCTTCTTAATGGTGGTGGCAGCAGCTGATATGGAAAGATGCCACCTAATTGTGGCCATAACTTGACATTAGGAATGGGATGAATTATTTCATTGTAAGTCTTGAGGTATGTTTCCTTATAACAACATGGATCACAAAAATTCTCAAGGTTTTGCCTCTTATATGCAATGCCAACAGTAGCATGCTTGCAAGGTATTCCACTGATGTCCCAGACCCTAAATTCACAATTCTTCTTACCAATATCAACTACATAATGAAATGATCCATCTGTGATATGAAATACATCATGACTAGCAAGCAAGAGGGTACATTTTCTGGATTCATGCTTCACAATATTCAACTTCTCCACAGTTTTTGGTGTCATAGAGTTAGGCCAAGTACATGCCTTTTTAAACCTCTGTTGCAACCTATTCATAAGTTTAGCCCTCAAACTCTCTAGCAAGGTTAGTATAGATTTTTTCCTCAACTCCCCAACCCAATTGTTGAATGATTCACTCAAATCATTTGTCACATGGTCACTTTTCACAGAAGTATCAAAGGCATGCCTTGCCCATATTGAGGTAGGCATCCTTTGAAGCCATGCAAATGCTGCAGGCTTTACATTCTTAATTTTCTCCCTAACATAATTGAAATCTTGTGGTGTGTATGCCCTTGCAGCCTTCTAGAACAATTTCCTTAGAAGTAACCTAGAGAATGTGGCCCTAAAGTTGTTATAAATGTGCCCCTAAAGTTGTTATAAATGTGCCTACAACAATGTCTACTAAAGGCATGTGGCACAATATGATTAATGACCTCCTTGCAACCCTGCATAAGTACACAAAAATTGCATAAGTAGAATAAAATCATTAGTCAATAATAAGTAAATATTAAATTGCAGAAAGAACTACCAAAAAGGTAATACCTTCTGTCTATCAGTCATGAAATTCCATGACTTAACCTCTTGGAACTCATCCAAAATTTCACTGAGTCACTCGAAGAAAAAACACCAGCTCTCATTTGTCTCAGATTCCACAACAGTAAACACAACTGGAAACAAACCATTATTTCCATCTAGTCCAACCGCAGATAAAAGCACACATTCGTAAGGTCCTTTCAAATGGCACCCATCAAAACCTAGGAAATCTCAACATCCTCTCATGAAACCTTGCCCAAGAGCAGAGAATCCAATAAAGATTCTCTTGAAAGATGGAAAAGCTGCCAAGTTATGCAACTCGTAATGGATCTTGGCAATGCTACCCGAATTTGTTTAAGTCACCAAATGAGCATATGTAGGCAACCTTTCATACAAATCACCATGGTTACCTTGAATCCATTCTAGAACCTTATTTCTTTCCCTATACAATTGCATATTGGGAGATTGGACTTCATACTTTTTCAGTTCTTCCCTCATTCCTGACATTTTTACATTAGGATTAGCTCTCAACATATTTACTACTTTTTTGGCAATCCATGGAGCATTTGCTTCCTTGGGCTTGGTATTCCTAACATAACTATGGATAAAGTTATATGTCTTTATCTTGTAAGTAAGCATATTTGGCAAGAGAAAAACATGTATCCTTCAAGGGCACCCCTCAACACCACAGTGTGCCGTTACCCTCTTCATTTCATTTTTATCTCTGACCAATGTGATTCCTTTATGAATCACATAATCCCTTAATGCATCTCTAAAGGCATTGATGATTTGAAATAACATTCCTTTCTCAAATTCAATTTTTTCACCTTCCCCAACATTGAATATTTACCATGAAGTGAACCATCCAAAGGGTCATCCTCACGATCATCTTCTTCATCATTAGAATCTACATGTTGGCCACCCTCATCATTTGACTCATAGTCTGATAAAGGTCCACCATCTTCTATATCATCAATATCTATCTCAATATCCAGTAACTCCAAACCACTCAAACTAATATCACTTTCAGTGTACACACACCACCTATCATCATCACTAAATTTGTACTCTTCATCCTCAGCCCCAACTTCTTCCTCATCACCATGAATTCCTGTGTTCCTAAAGGGTTGAGGATTAGGAACTTGCACATCTCATGGCTGCTGAAACTGAGCATATTTGATATACAATTGAATCACTGCACACTTGTTGTGTAACTTGAACATCTATAGGACATCTGCATCCGTTCTTATATCAATTTCTTGATTAGATCTAGGAATAGAACATGTCAATGTTATAGAAGTGTTTATGCTAAAAGGAACATCTTTCAAAGCCATGTCACACACATTACATAATAGATCCAAATAAAAGTACTTATCAGGTCGATATTCTTCACAAAAAATTGATCTGCTAAGTAATGCACAACCAAGTCATGAAAACAAAAAGTGGCCATCCTACACACGAAAAAAATAAAACAACTATTTAATGATAACAATTTGCCAGCTTATAAAAAAAAATAGAGGTATAAACATTCAATGACATACATACACTGGATTGAAATACAAAAAAAGAATAAAATCTCAATCAATATGTTTCTGAAAAAAGACCACAATCAAACAATAACAAATGAACAATTATAAACTAGAGAGGAGCCAAATACAATAGCAGAGGAAATACAAAAAGATGTGAAATC